ATTCGAAATCCCTTCAACATCTGAACATACAAAAAACATTGAAAGATCGATGAAAGAAAAAAAAAGGTAAGCAAAAACAGACACAATCTCCATCGACAACACCAACTAATACTTTAGAAGACTATAACATCGATAGATACAAAAACATTAGAGAATGGATATCACAAAATCCATCAGAGTAAGATATTAAATTTAACCTCGTTAACTTAAATATTATAATTTGTATTTTACTTATTTGACGACAATTTAATTTTTTCTTCTACAGCATATACTGGAAAGATGAAATCGGCAATCTATATGGAAAACAGTCACTGATAAATATGATAAATCAAACGAAAGATATAAATATTGTGGTAAGTCAACTTTAGTAATCATAATTAATTTTACTCCATTATTAATATATCTAATTTACATTTTTTTTACTAACATATTGATATAGAATTAAAGCTGTTGAGAAGGCTTATTCACGATGGATCTCCCATGCTTTCTAAAGAATATGCAATCATGGACCTTAGATTCGAGAATGAATGTGTTCATTGGTATAAAATTATAAAAGGAGGAGTTGCTCAGTGTACAAGTAATTTTAATGCATTACAACAGTATATAAAAGGAGAATTACCTGTATTTGCTCGTCCGTGGATAACATACAACTATTTATTGATTCCATCCGTATATCCAGGTAACACTTGATTTCTTCTTCTTGTCGACTTTCAAAAGTGGAAATTTCATGTATATGATTGCAGCCACAACATTCATACACCGAATGCAATTAAATTACGTGCAGAACTAATTTTGACTGTAGTACAATGATTATTGGTATTTACAGACATTTTCTTCGACAAACCAACTTTAAGAAAACATAGAAATAAGCATATGAAATTGAAAATCGTACCGCATCTACCTTGTCAAAATAATGGGTAAGTATCTCAACAATTTACTGAAATATTTAATTTTCTATTAAATTTTATTTTACATTTACAACATTAACATAAACTAACTTCAAATTATTTTTTCTATAGGCCAAATTCTGGAGCTTTCCTTCTCAAATACATTGAATGCTTCATTTTCGGATATTCATTAGAAGCAGTTTCCCCAGAGAAGATACGTTTATACAGACGAAAGATTGTCACAGATATTTGTTACAAAACATATTTTTTACGTCCATGTTTGTCCTAATCATAACAAATTATGATAATTTAGTAAAATTATTAAAATACAGTAAGATTCGTTTATCAAAATTCAATCTATAATCTTGTATTCATAGCTTCAAAATTATATATTTTAAATATTTCTATACATTGGAATAAATGTAAGTTCTTCGGTAGCAAATATGAGACACTACTTAACACGAGAGATTTCAAAGTATCGCAGTCACATTTTGTTCTGGACATGATGATTTTTTTATTCTGGACACTAAAAACCAGATATATCAGTTCAACGATGCAAACTCCAATATTCACGAAAGGGTCAACGCATTAAAAGTAATTCAGTTTTTGTAAGAAAAATATCATGAAGGGACGTGTGATGTTGCAATTGTAAGTAAGAACTCTTTTAGTTGCTATGGCTGTAATTCTATTTTCTTTTATTCAGTTGTCTTTTTATAGATGCTACTTCTATATTTTTTTTAATATCTATAAATATTATTCCCCACTTTAGATGATGGAAAATTACAAGCTAAGTCAGATTCTGGTGAACTCTGGGTCTTATTTGATAGGTTTGGTCCAATTGGCAAAAAAGTTGCTACAGAAGATGATATTATTCCTGAAAGCACTCCAACAAAATTTTATTGGTAATTATTCTTCCTTGTTTAATTTTATCATTTTCTTTTATGATAGGGCTATTGTTCATATTGCAAATGGTACCGAGTTTATGCTAATCACTAATGGTTTACTAAATTGAATCAGCATGATGAAGTTGCTTTGTTTACTTTACCCTATCAATCAGGCCTACAAAATAATATTGGAATAATCATTTTTAGTGAAAATGCATTTTTCAATCACACGCTATTCGGTTATATAGAATTCACAGAAGTACATTAAAATAAGAGACTTGAAGTTGTTTGCTTTTTAGCCAATAGTTTGACTGGCGTGCGTTTTACATGCATTTTCTTATTTTTAAATTATGTTCTAAATTTACACACATCTTAGTGACTAATCTTAGTGACCGTCCTTCATTTTTATCAGCATTAGTGATTGCAAAGTCTAAATTGTACATAGCGAACTTTCCATGTCACTTCTGAAAAATAATAAATGTTATTTAATGAATTGTCGTGCTGAAGTATTTGTTTGGCACTCAATGCCCCCATTTAATATCAGGTCTGATGATACACAACTATCCCTACAAACGCGTTTATATGAATTTTTTGGGATACATTGTCGTTTATGTTTACTGAAATAGCAATGTTGTTTTGATTGAAATTCTTCGAAGTGATTATCAATATTATTTAAACATTTTTTTTGCATGTATTTAATGTTGGCAGTCCTTATAGCAGACTTGTGGATACAAACTGTGTATTGGGCCATGTACTACAAGATGGGTGATAAATTAATTTTTTCTTAATTTGTTTATAAAAGCCTTTCACAGTACTGGTACTGTAAATAATTTGAGTTTGATACTTCCAAGTGCTCTAAAAGTAATTCAGTTTTTGTAAGAAAAATATCATGAAGGGACGTGTGATGTTGCAATTGTAAGTAAGAACTCTTTTAGTTGCTATGGCTGTAATTCTATTTTCTTTTATTCAGTTGTCTTTTTATAGATGCTACTTCTATATTTTTTTTAATATCTATAAATATTATTCCCCACTTTAGATGATGGAAAATTACAAGCTAAGTCAGATTCTGGTGAACTCTGGGTCTTATTTGATAGGTTTGGTCCAATTGGCAAAAAAGTTGCTACAGAAGATGATATTATTCCTGAAAGCACTCCAACAAAATTTTATTGGTAATTATTCTTCCTTGTTTAATTTTATCATTTTCTTTTATGATAGGGCTATTGTTCATATTGCAAATGGTACCGAGTTTATGCTAATCACTAATGGTTTACTAAATTGAATCAGCATGATGAAGTTGCTTTGTTTACTTTACCCTATCAATCAGGCCTACAAAATAATATTGGAATAATCATTTTTAGTGAAAATGCATTTTTCAATCACACGCTATTCGGTTATATAGAATTCACAGAAGTACATTAAAATAAGAGACTTGAAGTTGTTTGCTTTTTAGCCAATAGTTTGACTGGCGTGCGTTTTACATGCATTTTCTTATTTTTAAATTATGTTCTAAATTTACACACATCTTAGTGACTAATCTTAGTGACCGTCCTTCATTTTTATCAGCATTAGTGATTGCAAAGTCTAAATTGTACATAGCGAACTTTCCATGTCACTTCTGAAAAATAATAAATGTTATTTAATGAATTGTCGTGCTGAAGTATTTGTTTGGCACTCAATGCCCCCATTTAATACCAGGTCTGATGATACACAGCTATCCCTGCAAACGCGTTTATATGAATTTTTTGGGATACATTGTCGTTTATGTTTACTGAAATAGCAATGTTGTTTTGATTGAAATTCTTCGAAGTGATCATCAATATTATTTAAACATTTTTTTTGCATGTATTTAATGTTGGCAGTCCTTATAGCAGACTTGTGGATACAAACTGTGTATTGGGCCATGTACTACAAGATGGGTGATAAATTAATTTTTTCTTAATTTGTTTATAAAAGCCTTTCACAGTACTGGTACTGTAAATAATTTGAGTTTGATACTTCCAAGTGCTCTATTATTTCATCATTTTCTCGTCCTTATTAATATCAAATTTGTGCCTTGAACAATAAATAGATCAATAAGGTGAAATGTTTCCACAAACCGCAACTTCTCTTTAACTACGAGACAGAATCTCTCTCCTTCTTCCCTTCAAATTTTCCCCAGAATTGGGGCAATTGAGGATGTTCGGATTCAGCTTCATGAGAGATTCAATTTTGAGAAATATAATACCTATGCTGAGGCAGCTACAGCCATTTCAATACAAAGTACATATTAAGGTTAGTCTTCAGGTGCACCTGAAACTATCTGCTTGGCATTTCATTATAGCATGTTCACTATGTTTGAATAAAATCACATGTTTTCTTTCATGTTAATCTTAATTGAATATTATCGTTATACAATTTCACTAATCATTATGCCAATTTATATAAGATTTATGTGAAAATTTAATAAACTTTTAGAATAATTTAACTTCCCATTAATATTCGATGCTAACATTACCTAGAAAATACCACAGCCCATGCATTGCACTGGCATTAAACTAGTCTTGTAAATGATTGTCAATCTTTTACCAATATACAGTTATTCAGAGAATTGATATCTTTGAAGTTTCAACCCACTTCTGTTGATCTTCAGATATGATGATCTGCTTAATTCGTAAAGATTTTTTCTCAACCTGGCATACAAGTACCTTTTAACTTCAACCAGAATGTGATTGACCCCGTAATTTTTCATGGCTAAAATTTATTTTGCTTAAATATATTCAACAATCTATCAATAAACCAATGACAATGTGAAGATTAATGTAATCACGAGGAGCAATAATAGTGCTAGGCTGTGAGATTCTGCTTGTTCCTTATCATTGACTAGTTAATGGATGAATAAAATAAGCATTTTCATTAATCTGCAGGAGTAGTAACTACTAAAATATACAACTAAAATTTAGCCAGATTTAAGACAGTAAATTGCGGCTAAGATAAGGGGGATTTTAAATTATTTCACTCACTTTGGACAATTAAAGAATCCCATTTGTTTTCAAAGACGTTGATCAGGTTTATTTCACACTCGTGTGCGACTATATAATACTGCCTCATTGTCTGAAGAAAAACAACACCTCAACCTTCATGAGTTGAATGACCAATATTATTCAATCAACTTCATTGCTGTCAAGATTCCTAATGCTTCAAGAAATGTAGTGCATAATGTCATTGAGTTCTGCATGATCGAATTCATTATTAAAAATATGCGAAGCTTGTCCCCTTTCTGTTTCAGATTCTTGGAGCATGAAACCCATGTGCATTTATATCTATTTCAGTTTCCAGCGACGATGAGACATTGGCTGTGCAACATATTCTTTTTGTTTCCTTCCATTCAATCTCTCTCTATATATAGATGTTGCTGAAGGGATGGTCTTAAACATCTTTCCTCGAGACTCAAATTCTACACAAGTCTTAGAAACCAGTCATTTCACCAAAGAAAGATGGCTTTCCATGTCAGATCAAACAGTTTGCCATCTAAATCTCATCCAGAAATTGCTAATGTTGAAGACCATATCTGCAGACTGAAGTCCTCAGAAGAAGCATCCGTTTCAGCTTCTTCTATATGCGCACAATTGGCCAGCCTCAGAGATTTTCATGAAGATATTAATAATTTAATTCAGCTTCCATCTGTCCAGCAAGCCCTCATCGACCAGCTCAGTGAGTTGCTCGATGGATCTCTTGAACTTGTCGACATATGTGGAATTGCTCGAGATGTTATATTGTTGACAAAGGAATCTGTTGAAGAACTCGAATCATCTTTGAGAAGAAATAGAGGCATTGATACATATATGAATTCGAGAAAAAAGATAGAGAAAAATGTTAAAAAGTGCGTAAAAACTCTGAAAAGTTTTGACAAATGTTCTACATTGTTCTTAAAGAAAGACAGCAATCTTAAGGCCGTTGAAAGCATATTAAAAGCACAGAGAATTGGCTTCTATGTCCTCAAGTCTACATTAACAGTTTTTGCATCAAAGCAAAAAGCTTGGTCATTGGTTTCCAAGTTCAGTCGATCAAGCCAAGTAAATTCACAAACAGAAGAAGAATTGTATGCCTTGAACATCAACAAGTTGCGAAAAGACATAGACACCTTTTCCGTCCAAACTATCACGAAGCAGTTAAAAGAATCAGAAATGATCTTCCAAGAACTTGAAGAAAACTTGGAAGCCTTCTTTAGGAGGTTAGTTAAAACTAGAGTTTCTCTTCTTAGTGTCTTCAACCATTAGACTTTTGTGATCACTCTCATATACTCGTGTAAAACATTGTCAACATAGATATAATACAATTAATATTTGAATCTTCAGCTCATATTTGTTTACAAATCTCTCTATTTGTCTCAATATATACTGAACTATTTTCTTTTTCCGAAGATTTTTATCTCAACCAAGCATACCATAATTTACTTTTAGGGTGATCTTTCAGCTTTTTCATCGACTTTTTTGTTCTTTTAATATTCTGTGCAGCAGTTATTTCCTGGATCTATCCCATCTCTTAGAACAAGCAATTATAATTAACATGATACATCTCATCTCTAAGAACAAGCAATTATAATTAACTGTATCATGTGGATGACTAGAACTGTGAATGGAAAATGTTATTTTATCACATCTTAATTATGAAAAAAAAAACCATGAGTTTGATCAGTGATGTCAATATGATAATGCAACAGCCTGGAGCAATAATATGATAGTGTAGGTTGTCAAGATTTTGTTTGTACTTCACCATTGGCCATTGGTTAATTAGTCAATAAGCAATTAAGAAGTTAAGCCATATTTAAGCATATAAAATGGGATCGAAATTAGTTTTTATTAACTGTTTTGCAGGTGGAATATTTTTAATCACTTTTGACAATTAAATGATTCCGTTTGTTGTTGGGCAAGTTTACATGTACTCTTGTTAGACACCGGCCTTCATGAGTTGAATGGCCTATATTATTACATCAATTTCATTTCTGTCAAGATCCCAAATGCCTCAAGAAAAGTAGTTCTTGATGTCACTGAGATCCAAATTTTCGGCTTCCAATGCTGGCATTATGTGTTAACAACAAAAATATTCAAAGCTTGTCCCCTTTCTGTTTCTGAATTTTGGAGCATGAAACTCGTGCAGTAATATTTATTTGAATTTCCAGCAGTGATAAGACACTAGATGTGCAACATATTCTTTCTATTTTTTTATTTGAATTTCCAGCAGTGATAAGACACTAGATGTGCAACATATTCTTTCTATTTTCCTTTATTGCTCTCTATAAATAGATGGTGCTGAAGGAAATGTCTTAAACATCTTCTCAAGATTCAAATTCAACAGAAGTCTTAAAAAATCACTCATTTCACCAAAGAAAGATGGCTTTCCATATTAGATCGAACAGTTTGCCATCTAAATCTCATCCAGAAATCGCTAACATTGAAGATCATTTATGTAGACTAAAGTCATCAGAAGAAGCATCCATTTCAGCTTCCTCCATGTGCACAAAACTGGCCAGCCTCAGGGATTTGCACGAAGATATTAATAATTTGATTCAGCTTCCATCAGTCCAGCAAGCTCTCATTGATCAAGGCTATGAGTTGCTCGATGGATCTCTCGAGCTTCTTGACATATGCGGAATTGCTCGAGATGTTATATTGTTGATGAAGGAATATGTTGAAGAACTTGAATCATCTCTGAGAAGAAATAGAGGCATTGATACATATATGAATGCAAGAAAAATGATAGAGAAAATGGTTAAAAAGTGCATAAAAAATATGAAGAGTTTCAACAAATGTTCTACACTGTTCTTAAACGAAGACAACAATCTTAAGGCCATTGCAAGCATGCTAAAAGAACAGGCCATTGGCTTCTCTGCCCTCAAGTCTGCATTAACAATTTTTACATCAAAGCAGAAAGCTTGTTCATTGGTTTCCAAGTTCAGTCGATCAAGCCATGTACATTCACAAACAGAAGAAGAATTGTATGCCTTGAACCTCGACAACTTGCGAAAAGACATAAATCGGCTTTAAGAGAGAATCCCGGCTTTTCTTTATGATCCCTTCTTAAGAGAATCATGAATTCCAGCTAAGCTTCATCCCCTCTAGAAAAGAAAGAACGCCCCCCCTTTTCCTTGACAGGAAATAGGCTTCTACTTGTGCCTCTTCCAAGTTCTTACACCACCTCTGAGAAATAAACGGGAAGGGTCATAAGTAATAGCCTCTTTTCTATGGGTTAGAATAAAAGATTTTGTTAAAAAAAAGTATACACATTAGCTGTGCAAGATGTCATGAAGAACTCAAAAGAATCAGAAATGATCTTCCAGGAACTTGAAGAGAATTTGGAAGCCTTCTTTAGGAGTTTAGTTAAAACTAGAGTTTCTCTTCTTAATGTCCTCAATTATTAGCCTTTTGTGATCACTTCCATATACTTTTGTAAATCTTCGTAAAAATAGATACAATACAATCAATAGTTGAACCTACAGCTCATATTTGTTTATGAATCTCTCTGTTAGTCTATATATATTCTGATCTGTTTTCTTTTTCAAGATTTTTATCTCAACCAAGCATACCATAATTTACTTTTACGGATTGAATGTTGTTGGAAAGGAGAATATTCGGTATTAATCATACGGAATATTAAGGTGACAGTAGTGTAAATATAGGAGATTGAGTCAAAGGTAGAACCAAGAAAATTAGTTAGGATGATTTGATTTCATACAGTTGTTAATTTCCCATACTCTTGTATTTCGATTTAAGTGTACATTGTAAACTTACAAAATCACAACAATACAAGACTTTCTTTCTCATATTAGATTATATGGTATCAGAGCTCCAGATCTCTTAAATGAGAAAAGAAAATCCTAGCCATCTTCCACCATGTCTGACATTGGTTTCGAGTCCTCAAACACCCCTATGAACTAGCAGAAAACTTTTGAAACTGAGTCCTCCATCAACAGGTCACAGGTTTCCCCTCCAGATTTCCATTTTGTCCAGATTACTTCAATACGCCTGAATGAAGAAAATTTCCTTTGCGTCCAGTCAGTACGTATGTACATCCGTAGAAGAGGCAAAATTGGCTACCTGACAGGAGAAGGAGCCTGCCCTTAAGGATCCAACTCATCCCACTTGGGATGCTGAGAACTCTATGGTGATGACTTGGTTGGTCAATTTTATGGATGAAGATATCAGCTCCAACTCTATGTGCTATGACGCTGCTAAGGAGCTCTGGGACAACATCAACCATATGTATTCAGACTTGGGAAGGCGTATGAATTGAAGCTGAAACTTGAAGAAATCTGCCAAGGTCAAACAGCGTCATCAAGTACTTCAATTCTCTGAAACACCTATGGCAAGATTGAGACTTATTCACTGATTATGAGTGGAAATCCCCAGACTATTGTAACCACTATAAGAAGATAGTTGAGGACAACCGTATTTTTAAATTTCTTGTTGGACTTAACATTGAGTTTGTTGAGGTTAGGGGAAGGATATTGGCAAACAACCTCTACCATCAATCGAGGAAGTTTTCTCTGAAGTTCATCGTGAGGAAAGTCATCAACTTGTCATTCTCGGTAAGAACACAACTGTCAGTACCATTGAAAGTTCTTCCCTTGTTGCTAGTCGAACCAACCCTACGGAAGATTGATGAGAAGCCTTGTCTGTGGTGTGATCATTGCAACAAATCAGGCCATACCTGTAACACTTGCTGGAAGATACATGGAAAACCAGCAAATTGGAAACGAAAACATGAAGGCAGGTTTAACCGCTCACCATGAACGGCCTCTAACCGCTCACCATGAACGACCTCTAACCACTCATCCACTACACACGAAGCTGAAGGTGTTCCCTTTAGCAAAGAGCAAATGAATCATATCCTTAAACTGCTGAAATCTAACTCAGAATTGTCGGGTACTCCTAATGCTTCTCTTGCTCAAACAGGTAGTCAATCAAATTCCCTCTCATGTATTTCACATTTTGTTTCTTGGATTATTAATTCAGGAGCTTCTGATCGCATGAAAACTTTCACGTTTGTTGTATACTTATATTACTTGTTCTGGTCATGATAAAATACGTACAACAGATGCCTCTTTTTATCCCATTGCAGGCAAAGGTTTGATAAATTTATCTATAACCTTATCACTGAAATATGTTTCCATGTACCGAAACTTGCACGTAATCTCCTATCGGTCAGTAAATTAACTAAAGATTCTAATTGTCGTGTCAACTTCTTTGAATCCCAGTGTGTTTTAGGACCAGAGCTTAGGGAAGATGATTGGGAGTACTAAGATGATAGACGGCCTCTACCATTTAGAAAATGAAGATTCCAAGAATAAAAAAGCTCAAGGCCTAAGTATTATCAGTTCAATCCCTGTTAAGGACGCTATGACACTATAGGCTCGGGCATCCTAGTTTTCCCTAACTTAAAAAGTTGCTTCCCATGTTATTTCGTATGGTGGATTGTTCTCTATTTCATTGTGAAAACTGCATGTTATCAGAGAGTCATCAAACTATTTATCCTTCAAACCCTCATCAAGTTTCAAGACAATTGTGTGTTTCATTGTGAAAATTCCATGTTATCAAAGTGTAATATTGAACACAATAGTTGATTATGTATATATGTGTACATAGAAGTGTAATTGTTGGAGATGTAATGGGTTTCACGAATTCAGTTATGATCTTACCTGATTGTGTGTTTCATTGTGAAAACTGCATGTTATCAAACATAGACTAATAAAAACAGTGATGCTACTACAATCACTTTTTAAAATAATTTTCGGACTTAATTTGTACAACAGAAATTAAAGCTGTATATCAAGAATTCTTAGAATTCGATGTTTCAACAATAACATTATCTTTGGTAAAATGGTTCCAATTCATTTCTTCCCAAAATTATGACTAGCAAAAGAGAAGGTTCATTTTCTTATAAACTCCCTGGATTATTAATTTACCTCTCAATAAAAAATTCAAGGAAAAAGAAAAAGAAAAAAAAAAATTGATTTACAAATTCTCATGATTTATATCGAAAGTCAACTAAAAGCATTTGGATCCAATCAAATAGGAAGTCCATTAGGATGCCATATTCTAGAAGTTAAAACTATTTAAATCATATATGCACATAAAATGTAGAAAACACAAATAAAAGAGCCAAGTCACACCAGATTAACTAGGTTACAATTTTCACAAAATAGGATTCCATTGCAAGACAATATTAAGGATGCAACAAAGCGAAAGATTACCTCTAAGCACATCTAGGCCTTACCTTGTACACGCAAATACAAAGCATAAGCTAATGCCAAACGGCCTCTCACGGGACCCTTGGTTTATTATCCCGGGCCTCTCTTGCTTCGATGTGGACAATAATGCTGTGCCAATACTTCAACTTGTTCAGCAAACGACTTGGTCCCGTGTTTGCCAATGTGAAGAACCATTTGATTCCAACGCTTTCGACACAGGTCTCCAGATCTGTCGTCGAGCATATTGTCCCAGTCGACATCTTCTATGTAAGTTGAATCCAAGTTAAAAAGCACACCAAATAGTCGATAGTCATCAAAATCGGCCCACATACCTTCAGCTAATATAGGTGATGTTAACTGATTGTACCATTTCATACAGCAATTTGCTTGATTTCGAGTAGATAGTTTATCACTAATTTCCATCCAACAAATATTATCCCGCAACATGCCATGCTTTGATCTCTTCTCTGCAGAAACTCTCTGCTGTAGGTCAGCATTTCGTCGAGACCAGTGTCCTTTTTTTGTATTGGGTAATTTTATTCTGCGCCAAGCATATCCTTGACATGCCAACTATGTTCTCCAAGTTCATCAGCCAATGCCCTCCACTGGTTCCCGTGCTCCTACTGGCACTCTAACCATTTTTGTACTCCTCTTTGGTCCATTGACGAGTGTCAGACCTTCGAAACAAAATTTGAGCACGGAAATAAACAGCATTGTAGGGTCTATATAGAATGGCAGACCCTATCTCTTTCCAACAGTTTCTCACTTTGGGGTACTATCTACAATTCAAAACCTTCTCCAAACCTTCTTTGCCTAAGTCATGTTCGTCTATACACTTAAAGAGAGCTGCTTCCACAATCTCATCTTCTTCACATGTGAACCTCTTATCTCATCCCAAATTATCTTCCTCATCGTTTCCTGTCACAGCATTTAATTCATCTCTTGGCAGGAAAACCTTGACATGACTGGAAATTCTCACTTTCTTGTTACTCTTATTGGCTTTGGTACTGTCCAAACCATTTTCAACTAACTTAGGTTTTTTCTTCTTTCCTTTATTCCCATTTTCTAGTTCATTATCCCGTGTTTTATCCATGATATGAACATTTCCTTCTTGCTCAATATCAGATAAATCCTCTGTAGGATTTTCTTTCTTCTTCTTCTCCACAGCATTGCCCTCAGCATCTACTGTTTCTTCTGTCAGTATATCTTGCTGCAATGTGGACTTCTCATTTTCTTTTTTCAGATCTTCCTCTTTTTCGTCTTTTCAAGCTTCTGCATGAAAACTCCATCTTGTCCCTCGATGAAAGTCTCGACCACATTTTCTCTTTTCTTCTCTCCATCCAATATCTTGATTGTGGTCGAATCATCATCAGTTCTGGAATCTACAGAAGTTTCAGTTAATGTTGCCCACCGCCATCATCCTTGCTCTGTTTTTTCTCTCTTTTCCTTTTCTTCTCCCCTACAACCTTTTCCAAAGCATTAACTTCGTGAATCTCGCTACATGTTCCAATCTCTTTTCGATCTTCTTTTCTTCCCTTGTTTTCAGTATAGCCATCCTTATGGTCTTTCCCAATTGTCTTGCTCTTTATTTCTTTTTCAATTTCTTTACCACCCCTCATTTCGGTTATACTTTCTGTCTCAAGGCCTTGTTTATCTACATTCTTGTTCTTTTGTAATTTCCTCCTCTTTTTTTTGACTTTGGACTGAGGTCCTCACTGCACATTCTGAACACTCCATTCTCATTAGTATTCTTCTCTTCCTTCATCTTAGTACCCTTATCATCTTTTTTAGCTTTATTTTTCTTCTTCAAGGTCTCCCTGTCTGTTCTATTTCTGCAATTTCGTCTTTCTCAAATCCCTGTTCGCCCTCAACCACCGTTCGCCCTCAACCACCATTTGCCTACCGAGATTCTCAACCTCAAGAATTTCTGCGGCATCAACCTCGTTATTTTCAGCTTTTCTAGGCTTGTTCTCCCTCTTCCCAGGCAGTATTTCCATCTTCACTTCCTCACTGATTTTTCCTTGTCAACTGCCACACTGATTATTTTTGGGGTAGGAAAAAAAAAAAAAAAAAAAGTTGCTATAAAACTAATAGCCACTAAAAGACTCTTCAATAACACGATGTTGCCACTCATTGGCAATAATAAACAGTGAAGAAATATCAAAATAAATTGCAACATACAATTATCAAAATGCTTAGTATAACTTCTCTTCAGTGAAGGATAATTACAATTATAGCATCTAGCTTATACTGTATAAATTTCAGTTGTGAAAAAAGATATGATTCATATAAGATACAAAAGAATCACATCTTCTATAGCGAAAGGACATTAAACTTACTTATAAGATTTAGGACAAACGTTTGTTATCGATAGCTTGTTGATGTTGCTGAAAACCAAGTCATGACATAGAAAGAATAAAATTCCGCCAGATTCATTCACTGGAATAAGAACCAGGAGTGCCGCGATGGCTATCGGCCGAAATATTTTCAAGCTGTCAGAACAGAAAAAATAAATAGCTAAGTTAACCTAAAAGAGAGATTTCTGAGATTCCAATGTGAAATCTTGCATTGCAGAATTCCAAGATTTAAAATTTTCAGCTCCCAAAGCGCCACCCCCCCCCCCCCCCCCAAAAGAAAAAAAAAAAAAAAAAAAAAAAAAAAAAAAAAAAAAAAAAAAAAAAAAAAAAAGAAATAAATAAATAAAAAGAACAACCAAAAACCAACATCTTGGTTCTCTCCATGTTTCTTTACACACACAAACCTGAAATTGTGGTACACCCTCTTGGGCCCAAACTCAGTCTAGTTTTCGATGTCACTAATTTGATTTAATTTCTTAAAAAAGGGAAGTATTGATGCAGCCTATCAAGAATCAAGACTTTTAAGCACTTTCAATGTCCTTGCAGAAATTTTTGTAAGATGGAATGTGTAGAGAGAATGTCCAGATTATGAGTTAAGCATAAAGCATAAAGAACTTAACAATAAGCAAGCAATTTGAATTGTTATACTATTGGCTAAGGTGGATTATTGAAATAGCCAAATAGGTGTAAAATCCAATTTAAAATTTGAAAACAGTAGATGGGAAGAGACATGGTTCAGTGTGAACAACCATGAAATGTGAAGATCTAATCAAAATAAACGAAACATAACAAACACAAGAAAAAACGTAATTGTAGTATGAATTGCTAAATCAAATACATGTGTACAAGATGATATTTAACAGGCTGAATAGGGCAGAACGGGGGAAACCTAGACATAAAATCTATAAATATTTAATAGAAGCCTTACTTGTCACCTCTATGACTCCCATTATGCGAGCTTGCAATCAGGACAATCATTATAATTATTCCATGAACTCATGACTCTGCCCACCCTCGGGACACCATCCTCTTCCTTCTCGTTCGGCCTATAATCCTCCTAAATAAGTTGAAGCAAAGGTAATCAATGTAGTGCAAGACATTTGTCACAAGGTCAAAGAATGTAGATGTCTACGTGTAAGAAGTAGTCTAAAGCAGAAGAGAAGATAACACTAAAATTTATTTCAATCAGAAATCATGTACAGACTGTAGAATAGAATGACTTTGAAGAGCTTCACAGAGCAAGTTCGAATTGCATCAACTCTAGTCAATAAATAATGAGGCAAAAAAACTTCTGATGTTCAGGTGCAAGTCAAGTGCAAACGATATATCAAGGTCACTTACGAATGGAAGTATGCAAGTGTAACCGCATTAATTGTCTATAACAAAGAATATTTCTCGCGACATCCAGCCCCATTTGTCATAATAGAAAATTATAAAGAACGCTCAAGCTGAAGTCAACTAAATCTACGGGAAACTTCAGTTATAAACCAACAATTCTATATTCTGCAGCCACATCCCCTCATGATTTAAACATCTACAGCTAAGCCCACAATCAGTGGAAACAATAAAATCCTAATTATTCAGTAGCCTCAGCTTGAACCCTTATATGCTTGTCTTCTCCAGACAACAAAATACACAATTCTGTGGGACAGAAGCCCACAAAACTATATATCAACACATCCAATTACACCACACAAAAACCTATAATTAACATATGCATTTATAACATCAATATCATAAATGTAATACCTTCAGCAGCGCCCATCTGTTTCTCCACCTTGGCATTCATTTCTTGCCCTGCTTCTTCCTCAGTCTCCTGCAACCTCATCTTCATACTCTCCAGTTCCTGTAATTCAAACACCAGCAAAATTGTAAATATACATGCTTACAAACGTACAAATGTGTATGTATATACATATATAAAGAGAGAATAAAAAATACCTTAGCTTTCATGTTGACATCTGCGTTGGCCTTGGCTTCGGCATCCATGTATGCTTCATCAGTTGCTTCGCTGCCGTACACATTGTCATCTTGTTCGATGTGCCCCTTGTGCTCCATCTCTATATATGTTTCCTCTTTCTACAACTCTATATATACAATTTTAAGTATGCAGTTGTGTATACATGAGTGTACAGCAAATGCTGGATTTGTCAGAAAATTCCGGAAATCCGCAAATTTGTAGCTGTAGTTGTGAAGCCAAAAAAAGGGCGAAATCGTTTCGTGGTCAAGCAACAATATGAGGATTTGAGGGGAGGGCCTGCGGTGGCAGAAGAAGCAGCGCCACCAAGGAGCTTGATAGATGCTAAGAATAATCCAAGAAGAACAAACAGGAAATATGAAGGAAATTATATTAAACTGACTGAATGGAAATTACAACTTAAGAAAACATAAGAGGCCATTCGAGAGGGCCATACTCTCCTAATATTCCCTTTCCTCACAATGATTTCTGATACCCTGACTCCCAACAATTACTCTATTTATAACCCCTCTTGTATAACTAACTCTAGCCTAGTCACCATTTCATAACAAAATTTGTTATTCCATCCTTCTTGGTCCTTCTAGAATAGATGTGCTGAATCGGGGGTCTATCAATTACCCCTCCCAATTTAGTAACCTTGTCCACAAAGTTGAAAGAAGGGAATTGTTGATTAATGAGATCAAAAGGCTCCCAGGTTGCTTCTAATGGTGACAGACCAAACCATTTAATGAGCACCTCCCTGTTGTCACTGTCCCCAGCCGATGCAGAATGGATTCCCAGAACTGATTCTGGTTCCACCTTTAATTCCCAGTCTTCCCGTAATTGTTGAGGTAGAGGGGAAAGCAGATGGAATTTACCCACAGCTTTCTTGAGTTGAGAAACATGAAAAACAGGATGAATTCTGGATTCCGGAGGAAGTTTTAATTTGTAAGCCACTTGACCGACTTTAGCTACCACTTCAAAGGGCCCATAGTACCGAGGGTAGAGTTTCTCATTGGAACGATGTGCCAAAGATTTAAGGCGGTATGGCCGCATCTTTAAGTAAACTAATTTCCCAATATCAAAATCCCCCGCCCTTCTATGCTGATCAGCTGACGCTTTCATTCTTTGTTGAGCTCTCCGCAGATGCATTTTTAACTCTTCTAGTAACTGGTCACGTTCCAGCAGCTGATGGTCTAACGAAGATACTGCTGTTGTCCCTTTCTCAAAGCGGATGACAGGGGGTGGTTCCCGTCCATACAAAATACGAAATGGAGTTAGCTGTGTAGACACATGGTAAGAAGTGTTATAAGATAATTTTGCCCAGGGTAGAAAGTGAAACCAGTCTTTAGGCCTGCCTAAAGTGAAACAGCGAAGATAAGCTTCAATACTCCTGTTAACTACCTCCGTCTGGCCATCGGTTTGTGGGTGATAGGCTGAACTGAGCCTCAATTTAGTTCCTTGCAGCCAAAAAAGTTCACTCCAAAATTTGCTAATAAATACCTTGTCACGATCAGAGATTATTGACCGTGGCATGCCATGCAACCGAACTATCTCCTTAATGAATATTGCCGCCACAGAAGGGGCTGAGAAGGGATGTTTAAGTCCCACAAAATGTCCATACTTACTTAAGCGATCCACGACGACCAAAATCGAATCAACCCCGTCTGACTTTGGCAATCCTTCTATGAAGTCCATGGATATATCCTCCCATACTTTCTCCGGCACTGGTAACGGTTGAAGCAGTCCCGCAGGGGTGAGGGTTGAATACTTGTTCCTTTGGCATGTTGCACAGGCTGCCACATACTCCCGAATATCGTTCTTCATGCCCTTCCAATAAAACGTGGCAGCAATCCTTTTATATGTTTTAAGGAATCCCCTATGGCCACCGATTTTGCTATCGTGTCCTTCTTGCAATGCCAACATTACAAATGGGGAGCCCTTAGGTAAGGCAAGTCGGTCACGATATAATAGAGTACCTTGAACCAATGCAAACCCTGGATGTGACGTCTGGTCACCTTGCAGTGCTGTACGGATATGGCTCAATTCCGAGTCTTCCTTTACTGCCTTTTCTAGCTCAGCTTGCTGTACCACAAATGGCATACTAAGTGCAATCCCTGTTGCAGCCAATTCAACTCGGGATAAGGCGTCGGCCGCCTAATTTTCCAATTCGGGCTTGTACTCGATGTCAAAGTCATACCCCAGTAACTTCGTCAACCACTTTTGACATTCTGTACTTACCACACGCTGTTCAAGAAGGAATTTGAGACTCTTCTGATCTGTTCAGACTATGAAATGCCTCCCAATTAGATAATGCCTCCATTTTTGAACAGCAAATACAACTGCCATCAACTCTCTCTCGTAAATAGACTTGTTCCGGGACCGAGGAGGAAGAACTTGGCTGAAGTAAGCAATAGGTCTCCAGTGTTGCATCAGGACTGCCCCCAAGCCGTGACCAGACGCATTAGTTTCAATCACGAACGGCTTGGAAAAGTCTGGAAGCCCTAATACTGGGACCGATGCTACAGCCCTTTTAAGATTCACAAAAGCAGCTTTGGCCTCATCACTCCACCCAAAATTATCCTTTTTTAGTTGTTGCGTAAGTGGCCAAGCTATCCTTCCATACCCCTCTACGAACTTCCGGTAGTACCCTGTTAGACCAAGGAACCCCCTCAGCTCCTTAAGCGACTTAGGTCGTGGCCATGCAGTCATGGCCTCCACCTTAGACATATCAGCGGCAACCCCTTTTCCTGAGATTATATGGCCGAGGTACTCCAGTTCGGTTTGGCCAAACAAACACTTCTTCTTGTTAGCGATCAGCTGATTATCCATTAACTGCTGCAATACCCATCTCAAATGCTCCCGATGCTCTTCCACCATTTGGCTATAGACTAAAATGTCATCGAAGAAGACCAATACAAACTTCCGTAGTTGTTTCCTGAAGATGTCGTTCATTAGTGACTGGAAGGTTGCTGGTGCATTCTTCAGGCCGAACGGCATGACTAGAAATTCATAGTGGCCTTCGTGGGTGCGGAATGCAGTTTCAGGGATGTCCTCTGTCCTCACCCGGATTTGATGATACCCAGATTTCAAGTCAATTTTTGAGAAAATGGTTGAACCATGCAACTCATCCAGGAGTTCGTCAATGGTGGGAATTGGAAATTTATTAGCAACTGTAGCTTTATTTACTGCTCGATAGTCCACACAAAACCTCCAACTCCCATCTTTCTTTTTAACCAAGAGTACTGGGCTCGAAAATGGGCTAGTGCTATGCTGAATAACTCCTGCCGCCAACATCTCCTGCACTAACCTCTCGATCTCATTTTCCTGGAAATGCGGGTATCTATATGGTCTCACACTGATGGGGCCTGTTCCGGGTTGCAGGTTGATAGCATGATCATGATCCCGACAAGGGGGCAGCTTACTTTTGCTCTCGAAAACGGCAGAGAATTCTTTTAATACTTCAATAATGACTTCCGGAGGATCTAGCACCCCTCCTTCATCCACAATAATGATGTTACCTAATTCCAATAAGAGCCCTTCTCCTTGCTCTTTGAATGTTTTTAACATGGTCTTTAATGATACCGGGGTTCTACTAAGGCTGGGGTCGCCTTGAAGAGTTACGGTAGTTCCTGCCATATTAATGGACATAGTTAGCGTGTTCCAGTCCACTTGCATCTTCCCCAATTTCTGCAGCCATTGCATCCCTAATATGACATCTGAACTCCCTAATTCCATGGGTAAGAAGTCTTCTACCACCGTCAGACTCTGCAACGTAAGTGGTATCTGCTTGCAGATGCCTTCTCCCTTCACAGTGAGGCCGGTCCCCATAATTACCCCGTAACCCGGAGTGCTTGATAGAGGAAGGCCAAGTTGCTGGACAATTTCTGAACTGATGAAATTATGGGATGCTCCACTATCTATGAGGACCACGACTTCTCTTTGGCCCAACTTCCCCTTCAACTTCATAGTGCCCGGTGTCGTAAGCCCCACAACAGAGTTAATAGACAGCTCGACGGCCTGGCTCTCCTTACTTTCATCCTCTTCGTTACCTCTGATCGAGTTCTAGTCGACGCAGCCATCACCGCCCAACGCTTCCCTGCCGACCGAATCTGCTTCCATTTCTCTTACTACGAGCACTTGAAGCTCCTTATTCTTACACCGGTGGCCGACTGTAAACTTCTCATCGCATCGATAGCAAAGACCCCTTTCACGCTTCACCTGCACTTCGGCATCTGTAAGTCGTTTGAAGGAAGGGGTATTTTTCTGAAATGGTCCAGGGCTGGCCATACGAGTTGGGGTAATATTGAGTGGTATAGTGGGCTTGGTTGTTGGGTTAAAACTTTGGGGTGGGTTCTGGTTAGAATAGGCACTAGATTTAGGTTTCGGTGGGCCTGGACTCCACTGGCCCACTTTAGTGACCAAATTCCTTTCTTCCACCATTTGGGCCGTTTCCATCATCTGCTCCAACCCCACCGGCCTGTGTAATTGGACCTCTGCCCTTAATTCGGGTTTCAATCCGTTCATAAAACTCCCTTCCAACACCTCCTCCGATAAGCCATTCAATGGTGCAGCCAACGTCTCAAACTGTCAGCGATAGTCCCTTACAGTGGTCGATTGCCGGACCGCCAGAAATTGAGCACACAGAGTCCCCTCTTGCGACGCTCGAAATCGCCGAAGTAGCCTTACCTTCAGTTCTTCCCAATTTAAGATCGGCCGTCGCTTCTCCTCCCATTTCAGCCACACTAACGCCTCCCCGTCCAGACATACCACAACGGCGTCCATCTTTTCTTCTTCTGTCATCTTATTAATCCCGAAGTATCTCTCCACCCTGAAGATCCACCCATCCGGATCCATCCCGTCAAACACCGGCATATCCAGTCGCCTAATGCGCGACTCTCCCTTCCAATTTCCCAAGGCCCCAGCTCCCTCAAACTGACTTTCAGTTGGTCTCGATTGGGCTAGTCCGGATTCTGCAGATGATGATGGTTCCTTAGCTACCCCTTTGTCCTTGCGTTCCCTCTCTTGGTTTGACCAACTCTGCAGTAGCTTATCCATTTTTTCCATTAGGCCTGATTGCATGGCATGAAATTCTGATCGTAAGGCGTCTAGATTAGTCTGGAGCTCGTGATGATTACTGCTCACCTGTTGCTCTAACTCATTCACTCGTTCTGCCAAGGTCATGGTTGTGCTATGAAATGGGTGCTCTGATACCAAATATGATAGATGCTAAGAATAATCCAAGAAGAACAAACAGGAAATATGAGGGAAATTATATTAAACTGACTGAATGGAAATTACAACTTAAGAAAACATAAGAGGCCATTCGAGAGGGCCATACTCTCCTAATATTCCCTTTCCTCACAATGATTTCTGATACCCTGACTCCCAACAATTACTCTATTTATAACCCCTCTTGTATAACTAACTCTAGCCTAGTCACCATTTCATAAGAGAATTTGTTATTCCATCCTTCTTGGTCCTTCTAGAATAGATGTGCTGAATTGGGGGTCTATCAAAGCTCAACAGTGTCTAGAAGTCGAGAGCTGCTCTTGAACGGAAAAAGAAAGGGAAAGCGAAAGATAAAGGTTAGAGCTGCTTTATGAGAACTGGATAATGAACAGTATAAAACTGGATAGGCGTGAAAACAAGGGTGCACAAATGAATAGTGAATGTATTATCCTCTCTTTTAATAGAGCAGTGATTATATAAAGTGAGTATTGATGTCAAAACTGAATGTAGATAGAGTAAGTCATTAAGATTTTTTAATCTTTATCACTTATTTTGTTAACTAATTTTAATTAAAAACAGTTAGTATGCATTATTTTCTTAATTATGCTCACGAATAATTTTTCTTAGTTCCTCATTTGTTGGTGGGATTTTTTTAATCATACTACAATTTTTATTATTTGCACAACGTTTTAATTATATTTAAGGCAAATGCTTCACCTATGTCCCTAAGTTTTCTCCTCCTTGAATTCTTATTCTTCAATCTTCCATTAATTAATACATCCAGTCATTGACGATGATTTCTCTCAAAATATTCTTTTTGCATTGTAGAAATTAGGGGAAAATATTTGTCTCACTTTTATATTTATTATTTTTTTAAAATGTGATGGAAAAATGAGTCGGTTTACACCCTATGAACGAACCTTTTGGACAAAAATCGTTATCAAAGACGAGGTGTGTTAATTACTGAAAGGATAATGATAAAAATATGTCGAAAAGAAGTCAAAGACATAAATACTACAATGAATAAAGATTGATAACCTTAAGTGCGATAAATGGAACGGAACTAATAAAATGAGTAATGCTAATATAATTACATTTGTAAAATAATTTCAGATTTAATTCATACCACAGAAATTAAAAGCTGTATATTAAAAATTCTTAGAATTTGATGTTTCAATATTAACACTATTTTTGTAAAATAGTTCCCAAAATTATGGCTAGCAAAAGAGAAGGTTCATTTTTTAAGAAATACCCTGGATACTCATTTAACTCTAACCAAAAAGTTCAACGAAAAAAAAAAAAAGATATTACAGATTCTCGTGATTTCTATCAAAAGTCACCTAAAAGCCTTTCGATCCAATCAAATAGAAAGTCCATGTGGTGCCATATTCTAGAAGCCAAAACTAGTTGATCATTCCATAAAATGTAGAAACACAAACAAAAGAGCCAAGTCACACCAGATTATCAATTTTCACAATAAAAGATTCAATTGCAAGACAATATTAATGATATAACAAAGATTACCTCTAAGAATGTCTAGGCCACAAGCTAATGCCAAATGGCCCTTCACGGAACCCTTGGTTTATTATCCCATGCCTCTCTTGCTTCAAGTAGATGTGGACAATAACGCTGTGCCAATACTTCAACTTGTTCAGCAAAAGACTTGGTCCCGTGTTTACCAATGTGAAGAACCATTTGATTCCAACGCTTTCGACACAAGTTGCCGGATCTGTCGTCAAGCAGATTGTCCCAATCAACGTCTTCTATGCAAGTTGAATCCAAGTTAAAAAGCACACTAAGTAGTCGATAGTCATCGACATCGGCCCACATACCTTCAGCTACCAGAGGTGATGTTAACTGATTGTACCATTTCATACAGCAATTTGCTTGATTTCGAGTAGACAATTTATCACTAATTGCCGTCCAACAAATATTATCCCGCAACATGCCATGCTTTGATCTCTTCTCTTCGGAAACTCTCTGTTGTAGATCAGCATTTACTAAATTAAATAAACCCTGATACTCCTCTTGAGACCAGTGTCCTTTTTTTGTATTGGGTAATTTTATTCTACGCCAAGCATCCTTAACATGCCAACTATGTTTTCCAAGTTCATCAGCCAATGCCCTCCACTGGTTCCCGTGCGCCTTCTGGCACTCTCTAACCATTTTGTACTCCTCTTCAGTCCATTTACGAGTGTCAGACCTTCGAAACAAAATTTGCGCACGGAAATAAACAGCATTGTAGGGTCTATATGGGACAGCAAACCCTATCTCCTTCCAACAGTTTCTCACTTCAGGGTACTTTCTACTATTCAAAACCTTCTTCAAACCTTCTTCATCTAAGTCATGTTCTTCTATATACTTAAAGACAGCTGCTTCCACAATCTCATCTTCTTCACGTGTGAACCTCTTACCTCGTACCAGATTTTCTTCCTCATTGTTCCCAGTCACAGCATTTAAATCATCTGTTGGTGGGAAAACCTCAACAAGACTGGAAAATCTCACTTTCTTGTTACCTTTATTGGTTTTAGTACTATCCAAACCATTTTCAACTAACTTAGGCTTTTTCTTCTTTCCTTTATTCCCATTTTCTAGTTCATTATCCCGTGTTTCATCCATGCTCAAATGAACATTTACTTCTTGCTTATTATCAGATAAATCCTCTGTAGGGTTTTCTTTCCTTTTCCTCCTCTTCTTCATTTCATTCTTCTCCATGACATCCCCCTCAACATCTACAATATCATCTGTCAGTACATCTTGCTGCAACGTGGACTTCTCATTTTCTTCTTTCCTGATCTTCCTCTTCTTCGTCTTTTCAACCTTCTGCTTGAAAACTCTATCTTGTCCCTCGATGAAAGTCCCGACCACATTTTCTCTTTTCTTCTCTCCATCCAATATCTTGTTTGTGGTCGAATCATCATCAGTTCTGGAATCTATAGAAGCTTCGGTCAGAGTATCATGTTGCCCACTACTATCATCCTTGCTTTGTTTTTTCTCTCTTTTCCTTTTCTTCTCCCCTACATCCTTTTCCAAAGCAATAACTTCATGAATCTCGCTACATGTTCCAATCTCTTTCCAATCCTTTTTTCTTCCCTTGTTTTCAGTATAGCCATCCTTATAATCTTTCCTCATTTTCTTGTTCTTTATTTCTTTTTCAACTTCTTGACCACTCTTCATTTCGGTTATTCTTTCTGTCTCAGGGCTTTGTTTATCTACATTCTTGTTCTTTTGTAATTTCCTCATCTTTTTTCCTACTTTCTTCAATGCATCTAGACTGAGGCCTCACTGCACATTCTGAACAATTCGTTCTCATTAGTACTCTTCTCTTCCTCCATCTTTGTACCCTTAGCATCTTTTTTTGCTTTATTATTCTTCTTCACCGTCTCCCCGCCCTCCTGCTCTATTTCTGTAATTTCGTCTTTCTCAAATCCCTGTTTGTCCACAACCGTTGGTGTACAGAGATTCTCACTCTCAAGAATTTCTGTAGCATCAGCCTCGTTATTTTCAGTTTTTCTGGACTGCTTCTTGTGCTTCTTCTCCCTCTTCACAGGCAGTATTTCCATCTTCACTTCCTGGCTAATTTTTCCTTGTCAGCTGCCATACTTATTATTTCTGGGATATGACAAAAGCAAAAAATAAATTTGCTATAAAACTATTGCTATAAAACTAATAACCACTAAAAAACTCTTCAAAAAACGATGTTGCCACTCATTGGCAACAATAAATAGTGAGGGTGGAAGAAGAAAGAAGATTACTGAGGGCTAAAAAAGAAGAAGGACATGTGATTATATTCATTCTACAGAAAACATTGTAGAATTTAAATAAACTAATAGCATTGAATAGGAAATTCGATCCGTCAGCTCGAACCACTTTAAGATGTAAGCCTAAGAGAAAATAAACAAAAACTAAAAAAATAAAAGGCAAAAATATGGCATAACAAATCATAAACCACAAGGAAGCAATTTAACAAATTAAAGGGAAAAAAATCGGAGAAGAAATCTAGACTATATTAAAGAAAAAAAATTCACAAGAAAAGAAAAAATTCGAGATGGAGATTAAAGGTAGATTAAACAACAAAATAATGGGAAAGAAAAAAGAAGTGAATTACCTTTTGCCGATCGCCGATCAACGAGTCTCCATTCTCAAGTCACCACCAACCGTATAGAATATTTACCAGAGAAGATGGTCTCGTTCAGATTGATTTGGTTAGACCCGTCCAATAAAGCCCTATGACAAGAAAATAAAAAAAATTTGAGCCCAAATTCGGCCCAATAATTTTCTCTGGACAGATGCTTATAGTCTCGTTGGCAATTAGGATTGCACAAAATATCGCGAAATCACAAATCAAACCAAAATCATTGATTTGAAACCGTTGATTCAAGTCCACGTAGACCCACAATTTTTCCCTCAAACTGAACCTAATAATTTTAAAATGATTTGGTTTAGATTTCGATTTTCAAAAATCACACAAAACTGAATTGAACCGTTTTTAAATTTTTTAATTAAAACGTTAATTTCATTAACTTATAAAGCTTAAAATTTTGACTTTTCAGAAAAAATACCAATTTAACTATAAAAATTACAACTAGTCCATTGAAATAATTATAGAAAGTAAATTAAGTTCATCATCATTGGCTCATGGCTCAACAAGTTCACAACACATATCCTCACCTGATATCTTAACTAAACTAAAAATATTCTCAAATCATATGAAAGGAAAAATATATATATTTTCGACAATTCAAATCATAATTCAACAACAAATCACGCGAAAGCTTCAGAAACCCTAACATAAATTCTCATTTCGCAAATATTTGACACTTGTTTGCCACTCCTAAAGTAATCGCAGTCGTCTTTTGCCTATTAGTCTGTTAATTTCTATCTGAATCGTCTCTTTTTCTCTTCTCTCTCGGTAAGTCTCAAATTCTAATTCAAACCATTTTTTCATTGTTCTTTCTTTTATTTATTGTTTTTGAACTTATTATATACTTGTGAATTATAATTTGGATAAAAAAAAATGATTATTTGTGTATCTAGATGATTGATAAACTTTTTTGTGATTTGAAAAGAACGAAGGACGGAGCATATTGATTGTATGAAAATATTAAAGTTCCTTAACTAGTATTACTATATTTTACTTTTATAAAGTAGTTAGAAAATGAAATTCGTCAATCTCAACAAGCCTAAACTCTATCAATCTTTATACATTTGAACATATCACGTTCAATTCTTATTTAACATCTCACTTGCAAGATAAAAAGAGTTTTAACCAAATTATAATAGCAGAATATAACTCTACTTTTACCAAACATTATGTGACAATATGAAAGTCAAACAAGAAAATGTAACTAAAAATGAAGAAAAATGTATTGGTTTTATTAACATGTTTTAGCAACCAACATTGAAAATAATTTATTCACCAATTTTCATGGTAAATATGAATGTAATTTAACATAGCAATTCTATTAATGTAACAATATGAAAGTCAGACAAGAAAATGTAATTTAAAACGAAGAAAGATGTATTTGGTCTATTAACATCTTTTAGCAATCAATATTGAAAATAATTTATTTATGGGTTTCATGGTAAATAAATGTAATTTAATATTTAGCATCATTAGTTTTCGTTTAAACTTATATATTAATTTGTTTTAAATATATTACTATAATTTCGATAGGTAAATCACAAAACGAACCAAATTATGATTTTGATTTTGTTTTGTTCGAAAAATAAAATGATTTGGCTTTGTGTAACACCCCGAATTTTAAATTTTAATTCCGTGTGGACTAAATTTAATGTTGATAATTTAGCAAATAAAATAGTATATGTCTAACCTTGTTGTCACACTAAAATTGAAAAATTGAAGTGATAAACACAACTCACTTATTTGTATAAATGATTTATGGGAAATTTACCAAGATGTCACTTTTTTTGAAAATGCAGAAAAAAATTTGATGTGCTCACAATTTGTATAAAAATGTCACTTTTTTGTTGTCAAATGTCTAAATTACCCTTAATTTGACCTTTTTTGGAACATTTAATGCTCCTTCATGATTGTTTTTAAAAACAAATAATGTTGTGATTTGATTGTTTAATTTGTATATTATAATCATTGAATATATGAATATTATATTGTAAAATACGAATTTAGTTAATAAAAAATGAATATAAAATCCTTCAAAACCCTAGTTAACATAAAAAAAAACAAATTTCTTATTAAACAAACCCTTATTTCATTCCTCTTCTTCATCCATTTTCTTCTTCATCAAGAAGACATTATTTCATCCATCTTTTTCATCTGTTTTGATTATTACGAATTGTTTATATTTTTATGTAATAGCTTACTATTTTTAAAATGTTAAAAACAATATGATAATCACTACTATTAATCATCATATTCTTGTTTTTTAAATATTTTTGAAGGAAAAACATACAAAAATATTTAGAGAATGTGAAGTATTCCATATTTAATGAAGCATTCGGTCATTTATTTCTGAAAATAGGTTGTGGTGTTGTAGTTGTTGTAGTTGAGAAATGATTATAACCATTAATGCTACCAAACACATTTGAAGCTTCTCGACAGTTCCGACAGTTGAACTGTCGAACTCGACATTTCGAAATTGTCGGAATCGACATTTTAACTATCGAACCCGACATTTATAAACTGTTGGGATAGATAACTAAACTGTCGAATTGGACAGCTGAAAACTCTTGACACCCTTCATTTGACCTTGTACTATTGCATAAGTTTAAATATTCGAACGTGTCACTTCCATGCTATTATATAATCGACATATTGATTGCGCGTAATTCTTATCATTGCAATCCCAACATTTTAGGTATGAACAATAATTTGAGATTCATCGTGTCGCATGGGGGAAAGTTCGTTCACGTGAATGACGAATGGAAGTGGATTGGAGACAAAACCACTTCCATTTTAGTGTCGAGCAGTATTACACTACCCGGGCTATTGTTACGGTTGAATGACAAACTTGGTGTTCTCGATCTGCGCACAAAAATGGAATTGAAGTTCAAAGTTCCCAACATAAATATACCGCCAGCTGAAATACTCGAAGATGAAGACGTAAATTGATACATATCAGTTCATAAGGAAACTGCTATCTGCGTTACGACATTGGAAACCGGCCTGCCAAGTGTTGAAATGGAGAGGGATACAAATTACAACCAACAATTGCTCCCCTACTGCGTTGTACACTGAAATCTATTATAGTACACTTTTGATTCTCATTATTGCTTGCAGTCGTTATTGATCTTTGAATTGGCATAAACATTAGGATCATCGTGTTGATGACCTGCAGAACATCCCGACAGTTCACCTGTCGGTCCCGCCAGTTGTCTTCTGTCATTCTCGACATATGACTGCAAATGTTACATAACCATGGTAATAGTAAATAAACAACCCGACAAATAACAACAAAGGTACATAACTGCCACGTGTAATAAGGACAAGAAAAAGTACCTAAAATAATTTGTTATAACTCAACTTGAAGCACTCCAACTATTCTCCTGTTGCAAAAAAAAAAAAAATCATCCACGTCATTCGAAAATTGCTGTCATTCCATGGTGTACGACATCTTTCATTACTCCCCATGAAAGACTGTGCATGTTCCCCAATATTACTACGAAGCAAAGAGGACAATTAGACACTTTGACTCAATTATGCATACAAATATTAGAGATGCGAGAGTGTATTGTGTTATTTTCAAAAAACAACAATTGATTGGTTTGCCCCAAAACGTACAATATTATGAGCTAATATATTTAAAAACAGAATGTATATTACCAAAATTCAAACCTGAAGAGTATATTTAGCCCCCCAACTCTACGCCCGTGTCCAGGACAATGCTCATGAAGTAACTTGTGTGTAACTAACATATCTCTCAATGCTATTTATAACCAACTCCAAGGGAGGAAGCAATTATGGTCATTCACTACCCAACCACCAAGTCCAATCTCTAAATAAATTTGAAAATCAATTGGTGTGATGGTTCAATAAATATCAACTTGCGGACATTAATCCCTCATTTTTTCATAAATACTAGGACATTGTGACTCTTAAATCATGTGTACGATGGCTTCTTATAGTTTCCTGCAAATCACATCTTCTCATATGCAAGTTATTGTAAGCATGGTTGTAATGCTATAGTTTCCCACTTCAATGGCTCATCATCTTTACCCACATTAAGAAAAAAATATTGGAATAGACATTAACTCATTTGTAAATTAGTTGTACCATGGTTTTCACGACTTTAAAAAAAATATTGGAATACACATTAAAAACAATATACTACGCTTTAGTATAAACATTTTCCGTTAAAAATTACAAAAATTTCATCCGTCAATGTTACATAAATTTCACCAACGAATGCAAAATATTATACATTAAGGGAAAACAAAATGTTCTTCCATGCAACTGCCTCAGTCACTATCTATCGTTGTAATGTAATCCTGAATGCACCATTGTGAATGTTGCTCTTTCTTTGACAACGCAATCGATTGCTTCCAACTCCCATTATTTCCATAATGTACGCACCAACACTTTCAGGAGATGTGGGCCCACAATAGTGAATTCTCCAAAACAAGAGGCTCGAAATCCATGTCTCCTGTGATGAAACAAGAATGATTACGTCAGACCAAAATATTTCAAACACACGTGGGCGTCTGGATGAAAAAAAAATTAACCACATATGGACAAATCAATCAAAAAATTGCCCATATCATAGCATTCATACATGTTAATGCCAAACATGCGTGCAATGTTCGGCTGAACCAAGGTTCCACTTGCGGAACTAAGCTGAGAAAAGGAAGATTCCCGACAGTTCATTTGTCAACAAGTTCATCTGTCGAGAATTACTGAGGCTAACTGTCGAGAACGACAGTTCAACGCGATGACATTTCTCTACAGTAGTGAACTTTCGACAGATGAACTATCGAAAAATCTACTCTTGACCTATTATTCAATAGCTACTTAACTCCATATTCGAGCAGAGCGAAACATTAAAACTACAGGTATGCTATCAAGTGTCTATCAAGATTTTCACCCAAATACAATGAATACCACCACAATATATGGACTTGCAAGTGAAAATAACGTTATTTCTCATACATTAAGTGACACATATAACAACTTAAACACTGCAGTAACCATTCAAGTCATGGTTCATACTTCTTATGTGCAGGGTAGAAAACATAATAAAAAGATAA